CAATCCTACTTCCGTAGTGATACTGCCTCGGAAATCCAAGGAGGGGTCGCTATGAGTCGGGTTTGACTCGACGGCACATAACAACAACAACAACAGAATGGAACCTGAAAAGAGCTAGGCAGAATATCAAGGCCAATGGGACTAGATTTGAGACAGTTTGCCAGGCTCATCTGGGGAGCAGGAGTGCTGAGCAGGAATGCCAGCCAAAAATTCTCTCCTATGGACCAGGAAGCCCTGGCAGTGACTGGTAATGAAGTAGAACTCAATATCCAGTACACACTAAGGCAGCAAGACTAATCTCAGACCCCATCATCTTATAGGTCATATGGCTGCCTCTATCTGCACTGGTTCAGGATTAGGCAGAGCTAAGATTCATAGTCAAAATTCCTCTGTGACTGTGGTTGGAAAAAGCAGGGATGGAATTTGTGATAAACTAAGATTGAATATGTCCCTCCTGAATTTAGAGATCATCTAAAGAATAGATTTGATGCATTGAGCACCAACGACCGAAAGCCAGATGAATTATGGGAAGAGATCAAGAACATTATCCATGAAGAAAACAAGAGATCACTAAAAAGACAAGAAAAGAAGAGAAGACCAAAGTGGATGACAGAAGAGACTCTGAACCTTGCCCTTGAGTGGAGAATAGCTAAAGCAAATGGAAGAAATGAAAAGGTAAAAGGGTTGAACAGAAGATTTCAAAGAGCAGCTCGAGTAGACAAAGCCAATTACTAGAATGAAATGTGCAAAGACCTGGAGTCTGAAAACCAAAAGGGAAGAACACGCTCGGCATTTCTCAAACTGAAAGAACTGAAGAAAAAATTTAAGCCTCGAGTTGCAATATTGAGAGATTCTATGGGCAAAATATGGAATGATGCAGGAAACATCAAGAGAAGATGGCAGGAATACAGAGTCACTGTACCAAAAAGAACTGATCTATCTTCATCCATTTCAGGAAGTGGCATATGATCTAGAACCAATGGTAATGAAGACTCGACGGCACATAACAACAGCAACAACAACTTGGTTAAGATCCATATTTGTGCCCATTCCAAAGAAAGGGGAGCCCACAGAATGTGGAAATTATAGAACAATATCATTAATATCGCATGCAAGTAAGAATGTACTGAAGATAATTCAGAAACGTTTGCAGCAATATATTGACAGAGAACTTCCAGAGGTTCAAACCAGATTCAGAAGAGGATGTGGAACAAGGGATATCATAGCTGTTGTCAGATGGATCTTGGCTCAAGGCAAAGAATACCAGAAAGATGTTTACTTGTGTTTCACTGACTATGCAAAGGCATTTGATTGTGTGGATCATGACAAATTATGGATAACATTGAGAAAAAGGGGAATTCCCGAGCACTTGATTGTACTCATGAGGAATCTGTACCTTGACCAGGAGGCTGTCATTTGAACAGAACAAGGGGACACTACATGGTTTAAAATCAAGAAGGGAGTATGTCAGGGTTGTACCCTTTCTCCACACTTATTCAATCTATATGCTGAGCAAATAATCCGAGAAGCTGGACTATATGAAGAAAAACGTGGTATCAGGATTGGAGGAAGAATCATTAACAACCTGAGATATGCAGACGATACAACTTTGCTTGCTGAAAGTGAGGATGACTTAAGGCACCTACTGATAAAGGTTGAAGAATACAGTCTGCAGTATGGATTACATCTCAATATAAAGAAAACAAAAATCCTCACAACTGGACCAATGAGCAGCATCACAATAAATGGAGAGAAGATTGAGGTTGTCAAGGAATTCATGTTGCTTGGTTCTACAATTGATGCCAACGGAAGCAGCAGTCAGGACATTAGACGACTTAGCGAAAGTCAACTGCGAAGGAACTGTATCAAGTGCTGAGGAGCAAGGATATCTCTTAGAGGACTAAGGTGCGCCTGACACAAGCCATGATATTTCCAATCGCCTCGTATGCATGTGAGAGCTGGACAATGAATAAGGAAGACCAAAGAAGAGTTGATGCTTTTGAGTTGTGGTGCTGGCGAAGAATGCTGAAGGTACCATGGACTGCTAAAAGAACTAACAGATCTGTCCTGGAGGAAGTGCAGCCAGAATGCTCCTTGGAAGCAAGAATGGCCAGACTTCGTCTCACCTATTTTGGTCATCTTGTAAGAAGGGACCATTCCCTGGAGAAGGATGTCATGCTTGGTAGGGTGGAGGGTCGACGAAAGAGGGGGAGGCCTTCAATGAGATGGATTGATACGGTGGCTGCGATGATGGGCTCGAGTATAGCAGGGATTGTGGGGCTGGTGCGGGATCGGGCAGTGTTTCGTTCTGCTGTGCATGGGGTCGCTATGAGTCGGAAACGACTCGACGGCACTTAACGACAACAACAACAAGAAGATTGGACAAAAGATGTAGCCATTGGTACTTGAATCTATGTTTCAAATATGTTTTAAAAAATTAATTTAGAGGTAGAGTCATTAATAAATAAAAGAGTCATGTAAAAAATAAGAGGCATCCCTGTGATCAGATGTTGACCTTGCTCTTGTTAGCTGTGATTAGCTCTAAGTCTCCTCTGCAGACCTACCTGGGATCCTGACTCCACAAGGCTTGACTTGAAAATGTAGCACACTAGCCAAGTGTTTGAGCCCTGGAATCAAACAGATGAAGGTTCATTTTCTCACCATGAAACTGGCATGTGGTCTTCAGAAAGTTATTTAAATTTTTAAGCCTAGGTTTCCTTATCTGTTACATGGAGAAAATAATAGTAGTCACTATTGGGTTGTTATGAGGAGCAAGTGAAATAGTGTAGTGTATATTACACTATCACTACAGTAATAGTGAGGAGCTAGTGTAGTGTAGTGCCTGCCAAAATATGTGTCCAGTAAGCATAAGCTATTTTTATTATATATATATGATATGGAGCTGGCACGGGATTGGGCAGTGTTTCATTCTGCTGTGCATGGGGTCACTATGAGTCAGAAACAACTCGACGGCACCTAACAACTATATATATATATACATATATATATAATGGGTTAATTTTATTGGACTTTCTTATTATTTAGTTTATTTTTTTTAGTATTGGCTTCTCTATAGCTAATACTGAGGACATTGATAGTTCAATGGTACAATTCCAGCCTTCCATATGAGAGACCTGGATTTAATTCCTGACCAATGTACCTCATGTGCAGCTACTACCCATTTGGCAGTGGTGGAGTGCATGTTGTTATGATACTGAACAGGTTTCAGTGGACCTTCTAGACTAAGATAGACTAGGAAGAAAGGCCTGGTGATCTGATTCTGGAAATCAGCCAATAAAAATGCCATGGATCACAATGGTCCAATCCCCAGGAGATTATGGGGATGGTGTAGGACCAGGAAGTGTTTTGTTCCATTAAGCATAGGGCTGTCCTGATTCAGGAGCTGAGATGATGGCAGCTAACAACAGCAACAACAACTTAGTTAATGATATGTGCTGAGATCTTAGCAGAATCTTAGTCGTGTGTGTGTGTGTGTATATATATATATATATATACATATATATATATTATTAGACTGCAACTCAGTATATATACTGAGCTCCTCCTCTGTGCTATATTTGTGCTAGACTATGGGATTTCAAAGATGAATGAGCCATAGCTGTTGGGTCTTAGGAGTTTGCAGGCTAATAAGGGAGAGATATTTACAAACAATAGTAAATTCACCATGTGAAATGTTATAACCAAAGACTCAACTCATTGTCTGAGGAGCCCAGAGGATGTGTGGGCAGAGAAGGGATGAACATCTGGGTGGAGGGAATGTTAAGTAGAGAGAAACAGTTAGGAAATGTCCGGGGGGATGTGGAGTTGGGATCAGAGGTCTTCTTTCTTCTGCTTGTTGTTGTTGTTTGCCATCGAGTTGGCCTCGACTCATAGCGACCCCTCCTTGGGTTTCCGAGGCAGTATCACTACAGAAGTAGGATTTCCCAACCTTCCTTCCGAGGAGTGGCTGGTGGATTTGAACCACCAGCCTTCTGGTTAGCAGTCAAGTGCCTTAGGCACTATGCTACCAGAGCTTTCTTCTGCAGTGGGAGTCAATTTGCTCATTCTGTAGGCACAGCCCACCAGGAAAGCAGACTCACTATGAGTATTCTAAGCTCAGGCCTCTAGGGCTTTGATGGTATTGCAGGAGGAAGTTTCTCAGTAGAGTTGTGGCCTGCTCTGCTGGGCTAACCTGTATGTCCCTCTTTTCACCAGGTCCCTTCAAGAGACACTGTGACCATGGCCCTGCTGCTCCTCACTGTGACTGTCCCACCTGTGTTGCCTGCTGCCCTCACTACTGGCATCGTGTATGCACAGAAAAGGCTGAAGAAGAAGAAAATCTTCTGTATCTCCCCACAGAGAATCAATATGTGTGGACAACTAAACCTCGTGTGCTTTGACAAAGTATGATCTGAATTTTCCACAAGAGAAGTTAATGATTTCAAGGCACAGATATCTGGGAAGGGCCTTTGGGAATGTCTTGTCCAGCACCATCATTTTACAGTTGGAGGCACTAGACAAGAGAAGGGCTCACAGGGAGCTGGTGTGAGACCACATTCTAGAAGTTCACAACCCTAAGTTTCAAGGTCATAGTTTAGCCATCATATCATGAGTTTTCCCTATGAAATTTAATCTTTGGGGGCTGTTTTGGATTTTGTACTTCAAATCAATGTCTTACTATAACAACTTCTGTGATTGACTGGCTTTTACAGGTAAAAGTAATTGAGGAACATTTTTGTTCCCTAAATTGTTTTGTCCAGAACTTCAGTGAGATTCAGTGAACATAGTCCTTTCTCCTGCTCTGCCTCTTTAAAGGACAGGCAGGGAGTGGACAATGCTGTGTGTTTTCACAGACCTACATCTTTTTTCCTGTTTACTCCCGCAAGACTCAGGAGTCGAGAAAGTTGTCTCTGAAAAGGTGGTAAAGGAGGAGTTGGTGCAGTGGAGAAGACCACCACTGTGGGAAAGTCCTGATACCCCTTCCCATGGCTCTCCCCTGGACTTCTGCCTCACCCCCTGCTGGTCAGATCCTGGCCTCAGCTTGGGCAGGCTAGTTTTAACAGTTTAAGGCAATAGGCCCAGCTTGGTCCCTTATGTTCCAGTTCATTTATTTGAATAACTGTTCCAGGCAGTAGCTTTTACTGTTTTTTTTCAGTTAAGCCATATTAGCAGACAGCTGTGCACAGGGCTGGTAGAGAGGCTTATTAATGAGATGTTCTTAGCTCTTGAGATGTTCATGGTCTAGCTGAGAAAGAAGGGAAAAGAGAAATGAAGACAATGTCAATCATGTTATGCATATCTTAGTAGAGGTATGAGCAAAACATCAGTTGCAGTTACCTGCCACAGGTGAGAGGTCAACTTCAAGCTGTTGCTTTGTTTATTAGGTGGATGGAGAGGAAGAATGAGTTGCAGGCTTAGAGGAATGCAGTTTCAAAGCACAGGGTTGTGAAAGGTATGGAATGTGTGAGAAAGAGAGTGCAATGGAGTATGACTAGAATGTCTACATGAAATGAAACTAGAGAGGAAACCAGAGATGAAAAAAACCTTTCTAGTTAAGACCCAGGAGCTCTGGTAGCATAGTGCCTAAGACACTTGACTGCTAACCAGAAGGCTGGCGGTTCAAACCCACCATTCCTCAGAAGGAAGATGGGGCAATCTACTTCCATAGTGATACTGCCTCGGAAACCCAAGGAAGGGTTGCTATGAGTTGGGTCCACCTCGATGGCGCATAACAACAACAAGTTAAGACCCAGTGTGCCATGCTGAAGATGGGATAGGGGCCTCATCTTGAAGAAAAATGCAAGCTCTTATCACTTTTTGAGAAGATCAGTGACATTTTTACACATTTGTTTTATTTATTCCATCTGAAGAAGGAGGGAGACAGGAGTGAGGCAGGAGGCATGTTTGAAGGTAACCTGAGACAACTGAAGAGAATTAATTCATTGTCCTAGACAATGAGGGAAGGAATAGGGCACAGAGGACAAACTACAGATAAACTCATGTAGTAGATCTGACAAGTTGTGGTCATCAGTTGGATGTGGTATATCTCTTAGATTATTTCAGTTTTAGTCTCTGTGTGTTTTGTTTGGCAGAGAAGGTCTTCCATCTCTACCAGTCAAGAACCAGTACAGTTAACTTAACAATACTTCACTTTCAATCCAAGCCCTCCAACAATCCCTTTGAAGTTTTCTGGCAGGCATTCCTTTTACTTACTCAGCAGACTCACTAGTGTCTAAAATACGGGGGGGGGGGGATTTAGAAAATATGTTCATGACAAATCTGTCGCTAAAATTTTTCCTGAAGGTATTCGTTTTACTTCCTATTGAAAACCTTTTCCTCACATCCTCATGCACTCCTTGTTAGAATGTCCAGGGGACCATTCCAGGCATGCTTGGCCAAGCTCTCTATGGTGTAACAGCATGAAATACTGCAAAAAAACTCTTGGGTTTGGAATTGCCCAAATAGGAAATCTAATGCTGTATTTGGCACTAAGTTTCTGTGTGACTTTTTTCAGATCAAAAGGCTGAACTACAATGATCTCTGTTTCCTTCTTTCCTTCCAGCTTTCACATTATCAAAATCTATGGTTGCATAGTGCCTAAGGCTCTTGACTTAGTGCTAAATTCAGGATTAGATTTCATATTTGGGCACTAGGGTTGGCAGTTAAACCCTAAGGCACTTGACTGCTAACCAGAAGGCTGGCCGTTCAAACCCACCAGCTGCTCCTGGGAAGGAAGATGGGGCAATCTACTTCTGTAGTGATACTGCCTCAGAAACCCAAGGAGGGGTCACTATGAGTTGGGTCCCACTTGATGCCGTATGACAACAACAACAGCAGCAGCAGCAGCAGCATGATGCTGAAATAAAGCACTCCACAATAAACTGAATTTCCCTCTAGTGTTTTTGGGCTTTTTTGTCCAATTTAGAAGACATTTACCATTTGGCTTCCCAGTACATTTTTTTCCATATACTTTTCTAGTTTATTTTGGTTTTGTTATCAAGTTCTATATAATGAGGGCTCTCCTTTTCTGTACAATTTAGCCCAAGTCTAGGCTTGTATTTTCGTTTAGTTTTCTCTTTCTATCTTTTCCCCTTTAGAACCAAAAACATAATTCCATTTTCTTTCTATTTGTGATTAGTTTTATTGTACAAAGGTCTTTTTCACATAGAGAAATAACACAGTACTGTTTCTGTTTTGTTGCACTATCATCTCTGTTTTCAAATTGAAAATATTGATGTTAAAAACATAATCTGATCATCAAGAAAACATTTCAGTTTAAGTTGCTAACTCTTTTTCAAATGAAACAACTCAAGGGGATTTGGAGTCTAAACACATGAGACCTTTATAAAATGCAGAAGGGAAATGAACCAAATAGCTTTTTGTTGCTGTTATTCCTTAAGTAATAACCCATATAAGCATGTTAGCTCTCTCGGAAGTCCAAATGTATTAATAAAAAAATGGTTCCTTAATTCCTTGATTCAGAACCCAGTATGGGCTTTGTCTTTCCACATAACTTGCAGAATTCAATAGTTCCAGTCCAATAGGAGACTCTGAAAGGGCTGGATTCTGGTATTGCCTCTCCAAGACTATATTATGCCCTTAAAAACAAAGTTGCTGTCCATTCGGTTCCAAATCATGGAGAGGCCATGTTTGTCAAAGTAGAACTGCACTCCATGGGGTTTTCAATGGCTGATTTTTCATAAGTAAATCCTAAGGCCTGTCTTCTAAGGCACCTCTGAGCAGACTAGAATCTCCAATCTTTTGGTTAGTAGCCAAGCATGTTAACCTTTCGCACCACCCAGGGACTCCACATTGTGCCCCTAGGCTGCTCATTTCACCTCTAACCGAGGAATGTCTCTAGCCTGTTTACTCACAAGAATCAAAAGCATTCACAAGTACTTCATTAGAAACATCATGGTACTGTAATGTGCTGTAATGGTAGAAAATGTCATGTAAGAGAAAACTAGAAAATGGAGTGTCTTACACAGAGACAACCTTAAAAAAAAAAAAAGTGTCAGAGACCTGGGGTGTCAGTGTTCTGTACAGAATGTTCTGTAGTGCTTTTTAATGTTCCTCTCTATGTTGACAGTGTTAAACAGCTCATAGCCAAACTCCACTTACTCTTACTCTATGTTAAGTAGCCCTAATGTTGTTAACCTACTGCATAAAGACACTAGGGTCTGTAGTTAATGAACATCTATGAAGCAATGAGGAAATTAGAAAGTGCTGTGATACTATTTAGTTCCATTTTGCTTTCTCTGTTAAATTATCTGACAAATACTCTCCCATAATTCAGCAAATCAAATCTCCAGACCATTTTCCTCATGATCTAACAATAAAACTCATTCTTGGGCATTAATTAATATCTATTATTAGCACTTATTTTCTTTCTATAGACTCAAAGCCCTCTATCAACATTTCATTATCAATCTGGACAGTCACCATGTCACCCATATTTTCAGAAAATTACTGTGAATCAGATGGCAAACTGTGAACTAAACATTCTTGAAAAGAAAGAAAAAAAAAATCCAAGCTCTGCTAAAGCAGCAAGGAGGTGCCAACTAAAAAGTCAAACTCGAGCTGGATCTTGTTGAATTTCCATTCGCTGAACCTTTCCCAGGAGCTCTGGTGGCATACGTTTAACAACAGTAGTCACAATAAACAATCAAAACTGAAACAAAACACATACATTTCCTTGCCATAGGAGTTCTGGTGGCAGTGGTTAAGGCATTTGGCTGATAACCAAAAGGTCAGTGGTTCAAACTCACCAGCCATTCCATGGAGGAAAAATGAGGCAGTCTGCTTCTATAAAGATTTACAGCTTTACAAACCCTATGGGGGTCTCTATGAGTTAGAATTGACTTAATAGCAGTGAGTTTTGGCTTTCCTTGTCATAGTTGTAACTTGAATCACTTAATTATCCACACAATCGTTTTAGGATCATTTGTTACCTGCTGAATCTTTCTTTTGGATACCCTTCTCTGATTTAAAACTCGATGTTTACAAAAGAGGGCTTTGGGAAATGAGATCCATTGTGATTTATAGGAAGCTTGAGTTCTGTTTAAATCATAATGTTATTAAAAGCTTTAAATCCCATGCTAATCTCAATTCTAATTTTTATGCAGACTGGTACTCTTACAGAAGATGGTTTGGACCTCTGGGGGACAGTTCCTACTGCAGGCAACTGGTAGGTCCCTTAGGGAAATAGGAAGGTGTGTTTGATGGGCTAACCTTAAATATGATATTCAAATTTACCTTTTTTGTGTTGAGGGAAGAATGTCGCATAAGACATATATAAATGGACTGAAATCAGCTCCCAGATATTCTAACTTATTTAATTGAATGAGTCCTTAGTTCAAAATCAGACTGGGAAAACAGGTATTCAAATTCCAAATAAAAAATGAAATAGAATGAGGTGGATGATTAAGAAGCTGAATAAGTGAAACAGAGGAGTAAGTAAAGTGAGTAAAATCAAACCCACTGCCACTGAGTTGGTCCCGACTCAACGTTGATCCTATAGGACAGAGTAGAACTGTCCCATACAGTTTCCCCACTCTCTCATTAGCAAAGAGACTTCTTTTCTGGGATGTGTGGGACTGAGCCCAGCTCAAAGGACTTTGCAGGTATCAGCACTGAGCTGCCTGGTCAGGCACCTTCTCCCAATACTGCCACTATGTGAGCTGATTGCAAGTCACAGGACAAAAGTCCTTGTGGCCACATCCAAGGTCTCTGACATTAATTATATTATTGATTGGCCAGTGGCATACTTTGTTGAGAATGAAATTCCCATACAATTCAATGGAGGGTTTTGTAAGGATCACTCTGCAGTCAGAATATTCTAGTTAGAAAATGAGGAACCAAAGCGAGCAGAGGTTCAAGGACAGAGAAGTCTCCGGACATGTACAGAAATAGCAAGTTTAATTTAAAGATAGAATCCAAGGTATAAAGAACATCAGTGGCAGTGGAAGCTATATGGTAAGTTAGAATTGGAGTGGTCAGGGCCTCAAAAACCAGGCTAAGCGTTTGGACTTTATCACGTGAGGCATGGGGAGCTTTTGGTGGGTATGAGCATAGCGATTGCATGGTTGAAGCTCTACCTTAATAAGATTTTAGGGGAAGGACATGCAGAATGATTTTATTGACAACCTTAACTTGCTAATTATTTTCTCTACCAGTTTCCAGGTGGTCCACAGTTTTACCTCAGGCAAGGCTTTGCCATGGGGCCCACTGTGTGCGGCCATGGCCAGCTGCCACTCTCTGATCCTTCTCAATGGGACCATTCAGGGAGACCCATTGGACCTCAAAATGTTTGAGGGCACTGCCTGGGTAAGGTGACAGTTTCTTGCTGTCTTTGAATGAGAAAAACTTGAAAAAATCCTTAATGGGAGCACTAATGCTTTTCTAACCAAGGTTAAAACCCAGAGAAGACTTAGAAGAAAGCTGAAATGAAGATCTGATCTGAATAGTCTCCCATCTCTGTTCCAAATAACTTTGTTAATGAATATAACACAAAATAGGATTCCACAATCAAATAAATTTGGAAAGTTCTGTTTAAACAAAGTTAAATTGATTTCTTAAATGTAGGATTTCTTTGAAGTATACTGTGGTGCATTGTGAATATTCAAGAAGGGAATATGAAAACCAAAACCTAAACCATTTCCATCAAACGACCCTATAGGACAGAGTAGAACTGCCCTGTAGGGTTTCCAAGGCTTTATGTAAATTTTTATGGAAGCAGATGTTTCATATCTCCCATGGACTGGCTTTGTGAGTTTGTACCACTGACCTTTTGGTTAGCAGCTGAGTGCTTTAACCATTATGCCACCAGAACTCCATGCTGCATTTACCAAGCTTATTTACCACAAAACTTTATTGACAGACAATATCATTGTACAGATGTTCTCCAGAACACTCTCAGAAAAGTAATAGTCTAGAGCAGAACTGTCTAATAGAACATTCTGCAATGATGGAAATGTTCCGTGTCTGTGGTGTTCTATACAGTAGTCACTTGTTATCACAAGTGGTTATTGAACCCTTGAAATGTGGCTATATGACCAAGAAAATTAATTTTAAGTTACATTTAATTTAAATTTAAATAGCTACAAATGTTTCATGGCTATTGTATTGGATAGTGTGACTCTAGACACCACACTGGAGGACCCTAGCTCTTGTTCAATTTTCTGAGCTAAATGTGAATAAAAATTAAGGGGTATGAACTTGCACTGAAGGTGTCTAGACATGGTGAGATGATTTCTGGACTGTACCACTCTCTTGCTGTGTGACCCCAAATCTGGTATGAAGACTCTGAATCTGTTTCCTCCTCTGTACATTTGGGAGAAAAATGCATCACTCAAGGAGTTGTGATGAGCTTTGAGATTATGGGCCTAAGTAAGCTTTATATGTTACGAAGTGCTAAATATGTGGAAGGAATTAATAAATTGATTAATTAACCAATCAAACAAGGTGCCCTGGTTGCTCAACAACTGGGCATTCAGCTGCTAACTGACAGGTCAACAGTTTAAACCCACTGGTAGCTTCATAGGAGAAAGGACCTGGAGATTGGTTCCCACAAAGATTACAGCGTAGGAAACCATATGGAGCAGTTATCCTCTGCCTTTTAGGGTCACTATGAGTTGGAATTGTCTCACTGACTCACAAAGACAACACTCTCACACAAGTTTCTAGAGCTACTTACCATCCACTGCCGTCGAGTCATATCCAACTCATAGAGACCACTCCTTGGGTTTCTGAGGCTGTATCATATGGAAGTAGATTGTCCAACCTTCCTACTGAGGAGTGGCTGGTGGGTTTGAACTGCCAGACTTCTGGTTAGCAGTCAAGTGCCTTAGGCACTATGCTACCAGAGTTACTTACAGTGATACGTAAAATACAGGACAGCATTTAAAAATAGATGCAAAAGAATGAAAACAAATGATTGCATGCACATTGTAATATACTTCACAGTAAGCCTAAACTAAAAATATATTAGAAAATTTTAGCTTTCTAGAAGTCAAGCAATAAAAAAGGGAAATCTGGTACTCAAGGGAATTTATGATATCAGTAAGTTAAAAATAGAGCATTTGCTCTAGAGAAATATTTTTGACATAAAATAGTAATCAGTTCTGTGCATCTTAAAGAAGAACCAGTGTACTTTTTATAAGCAATAAGTACTTTTTCACCAGCATCACTGAGGTTGAACTAATGATAAGTTGCACTGGGTCATTGTTACTATATGCGGCTTTGATCTTGATCCTCACAGTGTCCCTTTCTCCAAAAGAACAGGGTTGATATATTTGTACAAATGACATACAAATTGAGGGCTTGTTTGGGAGCATAAATCTTGAGTATTAACTGAAGAACTATCTGGAAAAACAGTTGTATGACTGCAAACAAAGCATACAAAAGCAAGATTATTCTTTGAGTTTAAGACAATCAGGGCAAAACATTAAAGTTGGGTCAGAAGCAGTCTCGAGTTGAATATATTTTGGAAGCCTTCTATTGAACATAATAAGATAGGGCAATGTCTTACATACTCTAAGAGTTTTAGCACTAAAAGAGTTGTCAAAATATTTTTTAAAAGAAATTGAGATCTAGAGAAATGAAGTGACATCCTAAGTTTAAATAAGTAAGCAACACATCTGAATTTAGATGCTATTTCTTGGCCTCTACTTTACATATTCACTAATCATCTGCCAGTTTGTCATACTGTGGTAGCTTGTGTGTTGCAGTGATGCCTGAAGCTTTGCCACTGGTATTTCAAATACCAGCAGGGTCACTCATGGTGGACAGGTTTCAATGGAGCTTTCAGATGAAGACAGATAAAAAGAAGTATAGGACCATCCACTACTGAAAACTTGGCCACTGAATGGCCAAATATTGGCCTTATGAATAGCAGTGAAACATTTTCTGATATAGTGCCAGAAGATGAGCTTCTCATGTTGGAAGGCACTCAAGGTATGACTGGAGAAGAGCTTCTTCCTCAAAGTAGGATCAACCTTAATGATATGGAGGAGTAAAGCTATGAAGATCTTCATTTGATGATGGGGCACAATTCAATGAGAATAAACAGCTGCAAAGATTCATTAATAATTGGAACATGGAATGCACAGAATGTGAACCTAGGAAATTAGAAGTTGTCAAAAATGAAATGGAACACATAAAGATTGATATCCTAGGCATTAGTGAGCTGAAATGGACTGTTTTTTTCTTTTTTGTCATTTTGAATCAAACAACCATATGATCTACTATGTTGGGAATGACAAATGGAAGAGGAATGGCATGGCATTCATTGTTGCAAAAAATATTTCAAGATCTACCCTGAAGTACAATGCTGTCAGTGATAAGATAATATCCATATGCCTGAAAGAAAGACCAGTTAATACTACTATTATTCAAATTTATGCACCAACTACCAAATCAATGATGAGGAAATTGAAGATTTTTACCAACTTCTGAAGTCAGAAATTGACCAAACATTCAATAAAGATATATTGATTATTACTGATGATTGGAATGCAAAAGTTGGAAATGAAGAAGAATCACCAGTAGTTGAAAAATATGGCCTTAATGATAGAAATGACCCCAGAAATGGCATGATAGAATTTTGCAAGACCAATGACTTATTCATTGCAAATACTTCTTTTCAACAACATAAATGGTGGTTATACAAGTGCAACTTGACAGATAGAATATACAGGAATCAGATAGACTACATCCATGGAAAAAGGCAAGGGAAAAGCTCAATATCTTCAGCAAAAGCAAGGCCAGGAGCTGATTATGGAATAGACCATCAACTGCTCCTATGCAAGTTCAAGCTGAAGTTGAAGACAATTAAAACAAACCCACAAGTCCCAAAATAATGACCTTGATTATATCCCACCTGAACTTAAAGACCATCTGAAGAATAGATTTGATGCATTGAACACCAATAACTGAAAATCAAATTGTGGGATCTCATCAAGAACATCATACATGAAGAAAGTAAAATGTCATCAGGAAGAAAAGGACAAAATGGATGTCAGAAGAGACTCTGAAACTTGTCTTGAGTGCAGAGTAGCTAAAACAAATGGAAAAAATGATAAGATAAAAGAGCTGAACAGAAGATTCCAAAAAGCAGCATGAAAAGACAAAGTGAATTATTATAAAGAAATGTGCAAAGTTCTGGAGTTAGAAAACCAAAAGGAAGAACATGTTCAGCATTTATCAAACTGAAAGAACTGAAGAAAGAATAAAGCCCTCAAGTTGTCCTCGGAAGGAAGGTTGGGCAATCCTACTTCTGTAGTGATACTGCCTCGGAAACCCAAGGAGGGGTCGCTATGAGTCAGGGCCGACTCGACGGCAAACAACAACAACAACAACATGGGCAAAATATTGTATGATGTAGGAAACATCAAAAGAAAATGGAAAAAAATACACAGAGTCACTGCACCAAAAAGAACTGGTCAATGTTCATCTATTTCAGAAGGTAGCATATGATCAAGAACCAATGGTATCGAAGGAAGAATTCAAAGCTGCACTAAAAGAATTGGTGAAAAACAAGGCTCCAGGAATTGACAGAATACCCATTGAGATGTTTCAACAAATGGATGCTGCGCTGGAGGCACACACTTGTCTATGCCAAGCAATTTGGAAAACAGCTACCTGGCCAGCTGACTGGAAGAGATACATATTTGTACCCATTCCAAAGAAAGGTGATTCCACAGAATGTGGAAATTATTGAATAATATCATTAAAATCACAAGCAAGTAAAATTTTGCTGAAGATATTTAAAAAATAGTTGCAGCAGTACATTGACAAAGAACTTCAGAAATTCAAGCTGGATAAAGAAGAGGATGTGGAATGAGGGATATTATTGCTGATGTTAGATAGATCTTGGCTGAAAGCAAAGAATATAAAAAAGATGTTTACTTGTGTTTTATTGACTATGCAAGGGTTTTTGACTGTGTGGATCATAAAAATTTATGTATAGCATTGCAAAGAATGACAATTCCAGAATACTTCATTGTGCTCATGAAGGACCTGTCCATAGACCAGGAGGTTGTCTTTTGGACAGAACAAGGGGATATTGCATTGTTTAAAATCAGGAATGGAATGTGTCAGAGTTGTATCCTTTCACTATACTTATTCAGTCTTTATGTTGAGAAAATAATCTGAGAAGCTGGAGTATATGAAAAAGAACATGGCATCATGATTGGAGGAGGACTTATTAACAACAACTTATTAACAACCTGCAATATGCAGATGACACAACTTTGCTTGCTGAAACTGAAGATGACTTGAAACACATATTGATGAAGATTCAAGACTACAGTCTGGAGAATGGATTACACCTCGACATGAAGGAAACAAAAAACCTCACAACTGGACCAAAAAGCAGCATCATGATGATGGAGAAAATATTGAAGTTGTCAAAGATTTCATATTAACACCACAATCAACACCAATGGAAGCAGCAGTCAATAAATCAGATGTTGTGTTGCACTGGGCAAGTCTGCTGCAAAAGACCTCTTTAAAGTGTAGAAGAGCAAAGATGCTTCTTTGAAAATTAAGGTACACCTCTGGTAGCGTAGTGCCTAAATCACTTAACTGCTAACCAGAAGCCTGGTGATTCAAACCCACCAGCCACTCCTCAAAAGGAAGATGGAGCAATCTACTTCTGTAGTGATACTACCTCAGAAATCCAAGGAGGGGTCGCTATGAGTTGGGTCTGACTTGACGGCACATAACAACAACAACAATCCAAGACATGGTATTTTCAATAGCCTTACATGCATGTGAAAACTGGACAATGAATAAAGAAGATCAAAGAAGAGTTGTTGTTTTGGTGAAGAATACTGAAAGTGCCATAGCGGACTGCCAGAAGAACTAACAAATCTGTCCAGACTTCATCTTATCTACTTTGGCAATGTTATCAGAAGGGACCATTCCCTGGAGAAGGATATCATGCTTGGTAAAGTGGAGGGTCAGTGAAAGATTGGAAGATGCCCAATGAGATGGATTGATACAGTGGTACAACAAAGGACTCAAGTATAGCAAGGATTGTGAGGCTGGTGCAGGACCAGGCAGGGTTTTGTTCTGTTGTACATAGGGTCACTATGAGTCAGAGCGAACTTGATGGCACCTAACAACAGCAACGATTGCACTAGGTAATCTACTAAAGACCTCTTTAACATGTTAAAGAGCAAAGATGTCACTTTGAAGACTAAGCTTCACCTGATCCAAGTGATGGTATTTTCAGTAGCCTCATATCTGTGGGACAGCTGGACAATGAGTAAGGAAGGCCAGAGAAGAATCGATGTAATGGAAATCTGGTGTTAGTGAAGAATACTGAAAATACCACACACTGCCAAAAAATGAGCAAATCTGTCTTGAAAGAAGTAGCACCAGAATGCTCTTTAGCAGCACAAATGGCTAGACATCATCTCACGTACTTTGGTCATGTAAGAAGGGACCCATCTCTGGAGAAGAATATCATACTCAGTTTCTGTGGCTTTAAGGAAGGAGATTGCCCCGTCTTCCCTCCGCAGAGTGGCTGTTGGGCCGCCAGACTTCTGGTTAGCAGTCAAATGCCTTAGGCACTGCACAACAGAACTCTTTAAAGTAGACGGTCTGTGAAAAAGAGAATATCCTCAATGAGATGGATTGACACAATGGCTGTGACAATGTGCTGAGGCATAGCAAAGATTTTGAACATGATGCTTTACCAGGCAGTGTTTCATCCTGTTGTACATGGGTTGCTATGAGTTGGAGCTGATTGGACAGAACCTTACAACATGACAACAACACTTTTCACATATTCAAATGTCTTTCCCATGTTTTAGATTAATGTTGACTTTTCAGATGGCATATTTTACCTCCAAACCATACAAACCATTTTCAAATGTGTTTTGTAACTTGCAAACAGATTTGCCAACTCTCTCCCTAACAAAGGAGGCTAGTAGCACTGATAGAGCTTAAGTAGTCCAATGCTTATCTCAGGACCTATACCTACCTCATCTGAGAGCTAATGTGTCCACCTATATTGGAGAGCAGATCGGCATTTAAATCCTCTTCAATTACTAGTCATATCCACTTAGGAAGGGCCATTGACCTATAGCTAGCATGTCTCCACTAGTTACTATGTAATGTACTTACAATATTTCTGGCTTTTTGACATTGTATGCAAAGGTCCTTAATATAAATCAGAACAGAAATTTGACCATTAAGGTATTAAGAATATTGGTTCAGAGAAGAAAATATGTGAAAATAGTGCTGAATAGATTCAAATGTAATGCAAATAAAAGATAGTTCTTTCTTATTCTTTTTCTTCAAGGAATCTTATGACTGTTTTTCTTTTAAAACAGAAAATGGAAGATTGCAGTGTAGACTACTGTACATTTGGGATGTCGGATTCAAGAGTAATAATAAAACCAGGACCAAGGGCCAGTCAGGTATGATTTTCGTCTTTAAATCAAGTACTTCTTTGCCCTTAAAACAAGGAAAACTCCTCAAAATCATTTGGAGAAAAAAAAAAAAAAA